ATTTTTTATTTTCTCCGCTTCACACCAAATTGGGGTGGGGTGGGAAGTCAGATGTACCAATATAATACTAAAAAGAACATAATCCTCCTCCACCCAGAGAAATTAGAAACTGTGTGCAGGAGCCTTGCTGATCATTTCCAGGGAACTAAGGATAGCGAACAGTGTCACCAGACTAAATGTGAGACCCAGCCAGAGGGGCAATTCTCTGCACCTGAGCACTGCTGGTGAGGTGGGGGCAGTTGAGGGGTCCCCCCGGGTGGCCCCCTCCCCCATAGGGGAGCCCTCACAGCCAAAAAGATGGGGAGTGCCCAGCTCAGCTGTCCCTCTTCCCGGGCAGCTGTGACAGGGCCACTTCCAAGCTTCCACGTGCACGGCTGCCCCCCACCCCTTCCACATTCTCCTTTTGGATTCTTAATGCCCTGAGCAGCCAGGCGGGGAGCCCTTAAGCCCTCCGTGGAACGCGACACCTTCAAGTTGAGTGCTCAGAGCCCCACCTTCTTTCCGCGTGCGGGGACATCTCACCACACAGCCCATGCTCCCTCAGAGTGGGAGAGAGGGAGTTGAACAGAAGGGAGAGGTGCCACCTGCTGTCTGTTTATCACTGCACAGCCAGCCAGTTCCACAGGGGGTGGGGGGGTAATTTATTCAAACTAATTTAAGTCACTCTTGCCCTCAGCCAAGCTGCCAGCAGCCCTGGGGAAGGTGAGACCATGGTAGTCACGAGCGGGGCAGGGGGATTCTCATCTGAAGGGGCACCTGCAGCTTCCCACAGGGCGGGGTGGCCCTTGTGTCATCACGGCTGAGACTCGGAGCACAGTGAGTGAGGACAGCGACTCGGGGTCGTTTATTCTTTAGTCTGTAAAGCATAGGCGTCTATTGTACTGGGGTTCCTGTGTCGGGCATAGGGGCCCCATTCCATCTCCTCGCGAATGGTCCTCTGCTCTGGGCTTCCGACGGCACAGGTGAGAGAGTCATTTGAGGCCGAAGTGATGATGATCTTTGGAATGACAACTCTGTTCCTGCCTGACGTTACCTTTGCCCCAGGTTTCTCTAGAAGGAAGGAAACATCCAGGTATTTAGTAAGTCTGCAGCGAAGCAGACAATGTCTGTGTGACGGCCAAAGCACAGGGACTAGATTCGCGGTTCAGGACAAAGAAACAGGTAGGTTGGAAGCAGTCAGAACTGTGCACGGACGTTCAAAAGCTTCACCTAGACACCTTCTTTCCAGGATGAAAGGGGACTTCTGCCATCCGCCGTGGAGACCAGGCTGCCAAAGGCTCAGGCAGGAGACAACCTCGAAAAGGCAGGTGTGCCTCAGGTGAAGTTTCAGGAGCACAATTTCCAAAGGATTCTAAAGCCGGTAACAGCTCTCTGTACAGAACTTTATCAGTCAGAACGCTGCACAAGTGGACACTCCTGATGTTGGCCACATTTTCTTAAACTTAAGTTTACAAGGAATACGTAAAACTTGTGAAATGCCGAGTCTGTCAAATGTTACAAAAAGCAGAAGGCCCTTCCCTGCCCGCACCTCTGGGGGTGCAGCTGGAGGCACATCCCTTCACGCCTCCGGTAAAGCACCCGGGGTCTCTGCGCAGGTGTGCGTGCGTCAGCGGCACTCACAGCATCATGTCCTGCACCAGGACGGCCTGGCCGTTTACCCTGTTCCCACAACACCTCATGGGCCAAGCCACACGGGAATGAGCCCTAGAGCCGTGGTCGGCAAACTGCGGCTCTTTGGCCCCTTGAGTGTGGCTCTTCCTAAGCCTTAGGAGGACCCTAATTAAGTTAATAATGTACCTACCTATATAGTTTAAGTTTAAAAAAATTTGGCTCTCAAAAGAAATTTCAACTGTTGTACTGTTGATGTTTGGCTCTGTCGACTAATGAGTTTGCCGACCACTGCCCTAGAGTAACGACCCACGACCAGCTTCTGAAGCAGGTCCTGGGTCCCTACGCTTGACAGATGAAGGGCCTGAGGCACAGGATGTTTAAGTCACCTGCCTGAGGCAGATGGCAGAGGAGATGCTGGAGCCCGGGGACCAGGTCCAGAGCCCCCTCGAACTTCACCCCTGCAGCCAGCCTGGAGGATTGTAACCAAGTGACCACAGCCTGCACTGGGCACTTCATGTCATCCTGTTCTCCATTTAGTTTCAAGTGGGGAATTTATTTTTTCACATGTTTTATACAAGTATTC